CGAATAGGGGGCGCTACTGGCTGGGCGTCTGTGATAGGGGGGGCATGTGGTGCCACTGGAGTGACATGTGGCCCCGTTACTCTAGCAAAACCTAACTTGGCTCGAGGAACCGTGCTCAGTTCAATGATGCACTTCTTCCCTAGTCAATTGCACAAAACTTCCCGAAATTTGTCGGGACTCAAAATCTAGTTTATCCATGTAGCACTTGATTCACAAAGAGTCCTCAAATACATTGAAATACTTTACTTTGTACTTGAAACCGTCATCTCTCTCTGGTTAATAGGAAACAGTAAACATCTTCAAGCAAACTTAATGAACCATTAAAATAGAATTTACGGACTTTTCGCTGATCAAATTAAGTTTCAACCCCAAGTATACTAATGTCTACGAGGATCCAGTCCAACCTTTGCTTGTAGCAGGAAGAACTATGTAATGCAGTGCATTGTTATGGGACAAATCATATGCAAAGGCTTTTCGGGGATTAAACAAAGATTGGAGTACATCGCCTCCATCTTCGAACTCTTAAAGTTGTGCTAAAAATAGGGCACTGAAAAGAATGAAGCATTCTTTTGATGTTCCATGTTTAATAAACAAATAAATAAGAAGAAACAGAACTTGATGATTGCTGCATCATTATCCTCCAAACTGATAGTTTAATGTTCCATGCTAAAGCAGCAAGCCAAGACTGTAAAAGCATTAAAGGGCAAGAAATCCAAGTAGATTTATTAACTATTAACAAAGTCGTAAAAAGAAGTAGGAGAACCAGGCCATGCTGGATTTCTTTCAGGAAAAAATCCTAGACAATAGCACAAGTCCATAGAGAGCCTTGACACTGTCACTTTTGTAAGCTCTAATCAAAACTATCCTAGATCCCGTCCTTGTATTGTTACTACTTACAATCTTATCTAGCTAACATTGTTCCTGACAAACCACCAGCTAAAGAAGAAACTAGAAAGGGAAGGGGAGGGGTTTAAAACGGTCTTATAGGAATAAGTGGAAAAATACAAATGAAAGAATTCAAGGATGGCTCCAATATCTACCGTCTTTTCCAAATTCAAGAGAAGAGATTGATGTCAATTGTCAGTATTCAATTTCCAAAAGAGATGCTAAAATACCAGCATTGCTAATGTAATATATATTTTTCTTTATATGAACCTCTGACAATGACAAACATGATCTACAACAATTATAGTTCTCTCCATGGATTCCGAAACTCACCGAACCTTCTTGTGAGACTTATATGGGCGGGGAGGAGGTGAAGGGGAAAATTCAATTGGTAACTGGGGAGTTTCTAAATCTCCAGACAACATCCCCACCACCTCTTTCATGGAAGGTCGGAGAGCAGGAGACTTTTGCAGGCAAAGAAGCGCCACTGTGATGCATAGCAGGGCTTGCTCTTTATTTAATGATGGAATATTCTTATCGACTAAATCAAGAAGCTTCCCCGCCCGAGCAAGATGACGGGCCCAGGATAGAAGATTGGCTCGTTGGAACTCTGAAATGGGTGACCCTGTCACCTGAAGCGGCCTACGTCCAGCAATGAGAACTAATAATAGAACTCCATAACTATAAACATCACATTTCTCAGATATATCCCCACCACCCCCATACTCTGGTGCAATGTAGCACACGGTTCCCCTCATACTTGGTGTGCTACTGATACCCCCACTTTTAGGGATCTCTCCACTGACTGAATCATAACTATTTCTCCGAGCTTTCCATAGCTCACCGCTTAGCCCCTCCAACCACCAATCCATACTACCCCTACTGCTCCGGCTCCTGCTCCTTTTCATCTTTCTATCAGCATACAATTCATCATCCCTCGGCCAATAATTTTCACTATAATGATCATCGCTCATTGACCCCTGTGCTTGTTTTTTCTTCTTCTTTTTCTTCCTCTCAAGCTCTTCACAGAACTCCTCCTTCCACCACTCCCTTGCGGGCCTTCTCTTTTCCTTGGTATTCTTCTCATCATCCAATGACACCCACCAATCTAATCTCTGTTTCTTCTTCTTCTTCTTTTTCTCCTTTGAAGCAACCCCAGAGCTTGATGAGGCACCAATCCAGTCACTCTTTGGCCTCTCCTTCTTGATCTCATTCCCAATCCATTCCATTACATAATCCTTCACTTTTCCTGACTCACCTTCACCTCCATTATCTTGTTTCCACCACCAATCTTTACCCGAAACACTCTTCTTCTTCTTCTTCCACCCACTCTTTTCCCCTCCACTCTCAACACTAAACCTATCGAAATTCCCCTCTGAGATGTTCGTCTTCTCCAATCCCTCAGATGGAGATGCCATCTCTGCCACTATTCTTGGCGACACCACAGGAGCTACATCCGCCTCAGGGGACAACTCCACCCCCACCACTGCCTCTGGTGAGGCCTCAACCCTGACAATTACACTCTCCGGCGACCTTTCCACACCCCCAAGATTATGAACATTATTAAAGTCCTCGAACCCATTCGTGGTAATCACACTCCCCGTCTCCTCCAAAACAGATCCATTATCCTCCACCCCGTTCCCCAGATTACCGTCTTTCTTCACCTCACCTTCAATGTTCTCCACCGTCGACCTTGCCAACCCAAAATCACCGATTTTAGCATTAAAATTCCCATCCAACAAAATGTTGCTCGGTTTAATATCCCCATGAATAATCGGGGGATCACAGTAATGATGTAAATACTCGAGCCCTTTAGCTATATGCAAAGCAATTAAAAACCTCTTATCCCAATTCTTTAGCTCCTGGCTTTTTCGATGAAAAAGACAGTCTTGTAAGCTACCATTTTCCATAAGCTCATAAACTAAAAGCATTCGACGTTTACCAGGATTTGAGGAAAACCCCATCACGGAAACGATGTATTTACAGTCAATCTTCGACGAAAAAAGCAATTCATTCTGGAACTCGCGCTCGCCCTGTAAAGACCCAGAATCCATGACCTTCACAGCACCATGAAAAACAGAGTTCTTGGTGATGGGGTTTGGTTTAAGTGTAGCGCGGTAGACAGACCCGAAACCCCCCTGGCCGAGGTGGAGGGAAGAAGAGAAATTGTTGGTAGCGCGACGGAGGAGAGAGTAAGAAAGCCGGTGAGGAGGTTTCTTGGAATCAGTATCAGAAGCAGAAGGGGCTGTCCGCTTCTTTCTGATCCTCCGGAAGCAGAGGGTCAGTAAAATAAGAAAAGAAAACGCCGCCGTCAGTCCACCGGCCAGCGGAGGTACAAGATGGCTGGTGATCTGGTTCTGACCTGGCGGCGGTTGACGGGAGGGCATTTTAGTAAATTCGTGGTTTGCTCAGGTATTAAAGGGAACAGGTCAGAACCGACTGTGCAGAGAGAAGGATAGAGAGAGAGAGAGAGAGAGAGGCGTTCAACTTTTTATAGTGAAACTCTGATTTTGTTTTCACTTCGTATCGATCAGTCTTTTTCTGAGTCAAAGGCAATGGGTTACTGATTTATTTTTCAGAATTATTGTTGGGAAATGGAAATAATATGAGAAAAGTCATATAACTATGAAAAGTTATGAACCAATCGGTCGACGTGGGGCTCCAAACTCAATTTCCCTACTTTTATTCAGATATTTTAGCGTACTTTTATTTGTACAAAATATTGTATTTACTTTTAGATTTTTCTTTAATAAATTACGGTCAAGTTTTCATGGGTCAAGAATCGAATCCTCGTTAGATAATATTTTTTAATAATAATAAAAAAATCTACATTCTTTTGAATTGACATCGAGAAAAATATGAAATTGTTTCGTTAAGTTAGTCGGCTCGAATTGAAAGTTTTTAAGTTGTCGGTTAAGCAAACTATTAAATAAAATAAGAGATTTTTTTATATAGAGAGGAGCGTGGAATTTCTTTAATTAAATGGCTGCCATGTCGGGGATTGGTTGGACCATTTGATTAAATATGAACAAAGTCTAAATGGCCACATGGCCCACTCTTAGAACTAAAGCCACGTGGTGGCGTCTCTTCTTATTTTCAAATCAAGACAACCATTTATTTAATTATTTTGCATATAATTTATTAGCTACATAATTAATAATAATTTAATATAGAAATAATAATTGGGTGACCGGAAGGATTTATAGAGAAGAATTAAGGTTTTGATAGTAACCTTCATGAACATAAAGCATTTAATGTAATCTTTTGTCACTTGTAAGGTGAAGCTCTGCCATCTATTATTATTATTTATTTTTTTTCAAAGCAAAATATATTTTCTCCACGAGAAGAAATATATTGTGGAATTTTCACCTAAAATTCTTTAAAAACTTGTGTAGCTAGTTAATAATAATTCACCTCGAGCATTGCCTATGTTAAATAAACATTTTTTTACGACAATCAACATAGATTGTCATAATGCACATCCTTGTATAGTAAGGAGCATCGAGTCATCCATTAGAACTACAATAAACAAAAATTAAAAATCCTAAGTATCAGTTCACTAAAATATGATGCTATGAATAAAAGCTTTTGCATAACCATCCCTACATGAAGAGTTTTTAAGGGAGTTATCTTAGGCCAACTTCTTGTAAAAACACTTTTAGTCGGATAAAACACTTTCAAACATGTTCAAAAGTAGCTTCTTAATCTCAGAAGCAGTTTTTGACTTTTCAAAAGCCATACCAAATAACTCTTTATCAATTCTTGAACTTGGTCCTCCTCCACCCATAAGACAATGCCCTTGCGATCCCAGATAAATAAAAACACAAATTCCTTTCAACCATATCTTTCATGACATCCCATGTTGTGACAATTGATCGTAATATCTTATTATTGCAGACTCGTCCTACTAGAAACCAATCCATTATGAATAAGAAGATTTCATTATGCATAGTACTGGCACGCTTTTCTTAATATCAAAGTGTTCTAGGTTCACTATATATCAGTCTAAATACACATTGAATACAGCTAACAACATACCGCAGTATGGGGAAAAGATGCAAGTGCCAACCAATACGTTAGCAACCAGCAGCATTTATGTTACAAAATACGTGTTATCACCAGAACCATTCTTGTCTTGCATCCCCAGCTTTTACGTTGGTTGGCACCAGAGGCATGGTACCGTAGAGGGAAATAAAATCATTGAGACATTTATTTCTTGTTTCACTATGCCCGTTCAAACTGCTTATCCCTGATGACCCAATCTCATAGATCTTCCCTGAAAGTTCAAGGAACAGTGTTTCAGGAAAACAGAGAAAATTTATCAATTATCGTTAAAACATCAGTCATCAAAATACCGACCAAGTAAAATTATAAAAGTGAGGCTAGCAATTAGGGATGGATGGCTAGATTCTGGATTAGGGATGGATATTTCTAACTTATTATTGCGTTCAGGCACTTAATTTCTTAGACATCTTGACCGGGCATGATCATAAAAGGCTATACAATCCAAAATAATGGACACCTCCAAATCAAGGTGGAGGGTGGTACTTCTATAGCCAAACAATAATGTATTCCGCAAGGATTCTGTATTAAAATTAAAATTTTCTTTTGAAGTGTGGTTGGAAGATTTGAAAAGAAAGAGTGCACAATAGAAAATTTTAAAACTAAACCAAAAAATTATTTATGAATTCCCAAAAATGATTTTTTTCAAAAAATATCATAAAATCCAGTTTTGAGAAGAAAGTGAAATTTAGCCCTTGTTTGCCTCTTGTTTATAATCAGCCAAACAGCTTTTTATCCACATATCTCATGGACCCACAAGTACCACACATTTATCCATCACTTGTTTTTATTCATTTATAATTTAAATCGATTATAAACAACTCCCAAACATGTTTTTATACTTCATTTTTAAAATACCAAATTCGGAGTTATATTGATAGTATTTGAACAATATTTAAATGATATACATGCAACTTTATGTAACACCTTTAGCTTATAGGCCAATTAGTTCACCATCGTATCATACTAGGCAAAGGTCATGGTCCAAGTCTTGCTGCCACCCATTTAAATGAAGAATAATGCTATCTAGTACGACTAGTGCTACAACATCAGTCTTGAAAGCGTGATGTGATTGACTTAATGAATGATAGAATTAAGTGACCCATTTAACTAATGCAACATTAGTGACACCTAAACTGATATGTTAATACCGGTTGTGTAAAATAGCATAACTCTTAAATGAATTGTGCAAGTGGCTTTTATGGGAAAAAGGAACCCCACCTACGTGTACGGCATAAGCTTTTACATCAATTGGCTCAACGAGATTGAACGTAACTAGCCCTAATTTTATCTGGAATCCTATTATCATGTGGATAGACCTTGCTGGAAAGAATAATAGGAGCAAAAGGAGAATGCTAAGTAGGTTTAATTTGAAACATAAAAGTTAAACTGCTTCACTTTTGACATTGTATGGATAAATGGGCTCACGAACATTTTTTATGACCTTTAGAAGAAGCAAATAATACCTTTAACCCACATTGGAGGAGCTTCGGTGGCATTAGCAACAAGAAGAGACATAGCAATGTCTTCACAATTTCTGCCAGATAATAGAGGTCAGAGATGAAAGTTGGACGAGCAGCTATAAACTGAATTAAAAATCTTAGAATAAGGAAACATAAAATAGTATTCATTTGATTATACCTTTCCCTGCTTACATAATCATGTAATGATGCTGGCATACTGTGTGTGTATAACTCCAAGTACTTCTTATGAAAGAATGCAGCTTTCGAGAGAACCATACTATATGTGCCCGTCCACCAAACTGACCACCATCCTCCATATTGATAATGAACCATACCATTTTTCTAGGGGTTATGAAGAATTAATTATGCCAAACAAAATCAAAGCAAAGCAAAGCAAAGACTGGTAAATTTCAAGAGAGGCGCATGAGATTCATCATTGGGTATTATATGTATAAAATCATACTTCAGCATAGTAAATCGGTGGAATTTTTTATACCAGGGAACTTGAAAAAATCAAGTCAAAAAGACTTATAGCCTACTTAAATTTCTAGGAAAGGCTGAAAAAGTGCTATAAATGGCAGTCCTAACATTTAGTCTAGTTGAAGTTATGAGTTGCAACCCGAACTAGACAATACCTTAATCAGCAAGTCAATTCCGCATAATCGACAGAAAGATGAAGGAATGGTGCGGAAAGCAATTACTTTCTAATACATAGGGGAAGGAGTGAGTGTTGACGTGGATATTATACATATGCATATGTTCCTTGAGAAGACTTAGCGCTAATTGAGAAGTATTCTTCCATTCAAAGAAATGATAAAAGTGGACTATAGTTGCTTATCTATTTCTTGATATAGTGGTAAAATAAAAATATAAAAGGCCTAGTGCATGGACTAGAATAACAGACAGACAAGTAATTTTTCAAATATAATTGATATGGCAGTTAAAACGTAGACAAGAACAACTCAAAGCAGTGAGAGTCACGTAAAAGTGCATGTCTAGATTTCTGATACGTGTGTCAAATTTTAGGCCCAGGGGATTCAGACAAAATAGGAGTCTTGACCTTGGATATGGGTACTTCGACTCACCATTCATATATCGCAACTGGGAAAGTGATATACATCATGTTTCTCTGCAAGTAAAAATTGTAGCTAATTTAGGTTTTAGAACTTATTTCATGTGTTGGAGAGTCATGTCCCCCTTCAAATAACAGGAATCATGTCGAGCATTATGACCTATCAGAATGGCGTAAGTTTGTTAAATGAAATGTCAAAGCAGCATAGCTCTACTTCTTAAGAGTCTTGTGGAAAGACCTTTTTGGCTGGGTCTTCCACAACTGCCTTTTACTGTCCAAAGTCAATCCCTTTAACGGTTGCATAGAAGCAAGTAAGAGGATATCGTTCTTTTGAGAAGACATAAATTCTATGACCTGCTAGTCCTGGTGGATCTGGAAACTCAATGCAGAAATAACGGAAGCGACTCATTCCAAATAATTTTAATTCTATCATTTAGCATTCGCCATCCATTAAAACAGCATATCTAAAAGGTAAATGGAGATGAAATGTTGCATAGCTGCTTCTTGAACAATATGGAAGGCATTCTCTATAAGAATTAGACGGTAACCAGTGAATGTTTAAATGCAAGTACTTTATAACAAGGGCAACTTTGAAAGATTCTCAAAATATTCTGGAATAGTGGAAACTGCTTACCTCCTTTTTCAGCCAATGCATGCGAGGGACAAATCCTACCATTGTGAGTGGAGCAGTTTGCCATACAGTGAATGCAAAATCCAATGTAGGGCATGGAACAATTACATCATCATCCACTGAGAAAATTGCATCAGTTCTGAGATCCTCAATCGGCTTAAATCTATTGTTTAGGTTATCTTCCTCGTTTAGGTCAAATCTGAAGTTGGGCTTGTGAGCCGTTTGCGACTTCTTCAACACTACATTCTTAAGATAATCTTTTAGCTTATCTGAAGGAGGATCACTTTCACTCCACACGACACGTATTGCATCAGTTCCATAGCAGGATGCATAATGAGCAACAGACTGCTTAAGTAGAGAATTCCTCTTCCATGTGTTGATAAGCACTGTGTATCCACCCCTGTCCATATAAAATGTTGATTAAATATCAAGCTTGCTCACAGAAACAGAATTTAGGTAACTACACAATGACCATGAAGCCAGTGCGTTTACAAAACACCCAGTACAGTTGCTAAAAACAAAATACATAAAATTCTTTACCACAGTCAATTTCACTACAAAATGAAACTTTTGCTTACATTGTTACTCTATATCACAAATCTGAAAACTTCAAGAGGACTGCTACTCGATCCTCAAGGAAAATTAGCAAGCGGATATTGCAGATGCAAAGTTGATTTCAATTCTGGGGTCTGAGAAAGGTTATAGTTGAGTAAAGAAATCTTTCCCCAAATTTTGATAAACTTGTGGCAATTAACAAATTCCAAGATTAATCATTTAATTCTGAGTTTAGCAGTGCTTGTACTGCCTATGTACAATTATATTGTGAATGATTCTTAAATTAGGGCGGCATCATGCATCACTTAGAGTAACATGAAATGTAACAATTTATAAATTTTTAATCAAAATGTCCACATAATCACAAACTTTCATTGTAATAGATAAACCAATCCACTATTAACAGCACAAAATTAATCATTTTCCCCCAGATCAAGGAAAAACGCATAAGAAGATGATACGGATACCTCGAAGTAGAAGAAATGGAAGAAGAATACTGCGGCTTCCAGCCCATGAAGGAGCTGAGCAAATAGAGGACGCTTAAGAGACATAATAAGAGAAGTAGCTTGTACTTTGCGCTGCCAAACAACAGCCGCAAGCGGAGGTGGAGGAGCGGCAATCCGCCGTTGTATACGCCTCTATTCGAAGCTTTCTCCTTCGCCGGGGAGTATTCTCCACCGTTGCCGTTCAGGGCGGCGTCTCTGATCGCGATGAGAGCTGACATTTTCAGAAGTCCATGTAATTAAGGGTCCTGATCTGATACTGGATCAAATGATGTAACCAAATAGGACAGAAAGGGGTTACTTTGTTACAGCTTTCCTTTTCTCTTTTCCACACCCTTTTTTGGCTTTTACTTTGAAGCCGGCATTGAAGTTTCAGTGCATGTTTGTTGAATAATATTTTTTTGAAAATATGTGATTGAAAAGAAAAATAATTTTATTGGTTTGTGTATATAATATTTTATTGAAAAGTTTTAGCAAATTATTGACTGCAAAAATTTACTTAAAAGCAATTTTTTTCAGAAGGGAGCTTTCTTTAAATAAACTTCTTACGACTAACTTTGTATTAAGGTTGGTGCTGGTTCAATCTGATTGTAGAAGGAGTCGAATTAAAGTATTAATATATATATATATATTTTTAAAATGAAATTATCGGTTCCATGTCCAAGTATGGTATCGATCTGAATCGTTCGATAGTAGTTCATATTCTATCCAAATAGGCTCCTTCAATTAGAGTTTTCAAATTCACAAAAGATGCAAATGACGTGTCTAACTATAAAAAGTGCTTAAGTTATATAGAGCTTGTTTGAAAGTGATTAAAATCGGATTAAAATTGAAAAACTAGTCGTTATTGTTGACTTTTATTAGACGGGTGAAACCCAATAATAGCTATATTTTCAATTTTAATTGGATTAAAATCCCTCCAAAACAAGCTCATAATTGTATAAGCATCTAAATTATCATTAATCTCTTCGTTAAAATATTATATATCAATGCTAATGATTTGAACTTTTCAAGTTTTAGTTAATTACTCATTGTTTGGTAGGAATTAAAATTATATTTTTAGTAGATTTTGATAAAAATTGATAAAATATATGGTTGAAAAGTTGTGAAACCTATGAAATATGTGATTTACATTAATTGTTGACTGACTTAGGATAAAATCTAAACTTTAATTTCTATCAGGGCCGAGAATGCAATCTTGAAAATGATGAAAATAACCTGAGCCTCTTATCAATCCAAAATCATATTTATGAAATTTCAATGATCTACTTAAACAAGTATAGAATTAACACCATAATGAATTGAATATAAACTTGATGTCCTATAGTGAAATTAACAAGATAAATTCAAATTGTCCACAACACAAGTCACTTTCCAAAAAAAAAAAAAAAATTAGAAAAAAAAATTTGAGTTGAATCGAATTTTTTTTATTCTTAATATTAGAATCGAGAATTGGATCGAAAACTTTAGCCCACCACTAACATTTCCTCTTCTATGCATCTATATATGTAGTGTTCTAAAAAGCGTAAAGCGTGGCTAGGCGTGTAGGACAAGCTTCAAGCTTTATGAGCCTAGGCATAAAAAAAAGTTTTTTATTTTAAATTTTTAATCATTGTAAAAAAATTCAACAATTCAAAATACCTGATACCCAAATCAGTGCGGTGGGTGAAGAAATTGAAAGGTTTTGCGCAGTTCTTTGGTCTTTTTTTTCCCCATTCTTCCGTCTTATCAGTTTTTTGGAGTTTTTGAAGTTTGAAGGAATAGTGGGCTACTGCGTCTGGGCTGTAAGTTTTATTTAAAAAAAGAAAGGAAAAAATTGAATTCCCTTAAAATTTGGACTTGAGGCGGAGGCGTGCCTAGGCGTCCCTAATAACTAGGCACGCCTAGGCGAGCACTAAGCGGTCAACATTATCGTTGACTGCTTAATTCCTGCTTAGGCTCAAGGGGAAGCGTTTTTATCACACTTCCCGTCTAGGTTCGCCTTTTAGAACAGAGGCTCTATGCATCTATCCCGCCTTCTTGCATTTCACCTTACTCCCATTTTCCCTTTGTTTTTGTTTAGTAAGACGATAAGAAATGGAGGTTCATTTTGACTAAGATATAGTCGATTTTGATTAAGTTAAGGTCAACAAGATTATTTTAAAAGCAGATTGTCTTCTGTTAGTTTACAATATCTATAATATATAATATTACATAATTATTTTTGAACGATTTTAACCTTACTACAATTCAATTATTTCAATAATACATTACTTTTTATTTTTCAAAATATAATAAATACTATAAAATTCTTGTCATGTATGAATTTCATGTTATTAATTCTCAATTAATTAACTTTCACATTAATATAGTGTCAATGAATCTTGACTACATAAATCTTGAATTATTATAGATGAATTTATTTATATTTATGTATATAGGAATTTTAATGGGTGTTTAAATACCTTAACAATCTTGAATTTTTATACCCTATAGGAAGATGACTACAGATGCAAAGGTGACATACACAGGAGAAATGATACAAAAACTTGTGCAGAAAAGACTTGCATACACAAAATGCACCAGTGAATTCATTCCTGCCCAATGCAATTTCTACATGAACTGTTCATAACAATTCTCATTACAAACTCAAAAGGCGATTCATTGCTCTTTGATTGATTTGTGCAGAGTTAGTGCATGTTTGTTGTAGAATATTGGACAAAACTAAAGAACTAAACTGTATAATGAACAAATTGTAACTTCCTTTTCTTTCTTAAAATTGTTTATCCAGTATTGTTCAATCACTCTCACCAAACATCAAATTAGTGGCAGAAGTATAGGCTTTCCTACTTTGAGGTTATGACATAGATCAACAATAGTAGAGAATTAATCATTTGTCATCCTATTAATTGAAAGAATCAGAAATAAAAATTTGATATACAAAATAAACAGCCAAATCTGTTTTCATTTAAAATAGATAATAGGTTCCTTGAACCGTTCATCTCAAGTCTTTAGACTACTTGTTCTACGAAGTTTACAAAACCTAATTGCTTATTAGTCTACAGTTGCTTACAATCTCCAAACTCTCATGCTGGCTCAGTTCTCTTCAAATCAACAACTACGTACGAGAGTATTATTGTCGTCACTTCCCCTGCAGCCAAAGCACATTGGGATCGGAATAATCAAGGCCCTTTATTTTGTCCAGTTATCTCCTCTTACTCACTGAGGACATGACAGGTCATCTCGTTAGACGTGACATCCCACAGGCCATCACCAGCAAGAATATAAAATTTTGGATAAAGCCACTCAAACAGATAAAATTGACAGGGTTTCCAAAACAGACTGACTTGACAAATTCTGATTGGCCCGTTTTTCTTAAAAAGCTGTCCACCTCCCAATGAATTCACGCCAAGTCAGTCTGTCACTATTTTCCTGTCCATTTTCTCTGTTTGAGTAGCATGGTCCTAAAATTTTAACCCTTCCTTTTGAAACATATTTGAATAACTTTCTTTTTTCTTACTTTTAAGTTGAAAAGGTCGCTTATTTTGAAAGCAATTTTTGCCTTACCATCAAAATTGTAACTTATTTATGTCCAACTCGGACAAGTAAAAAATTATTTATTTTTAAATTTAATTACTTTTTTTTTTTTTTGAGTAAATTTACTTGTAAGTAAACAGTTTAAGCTTAGCCAAGCATGCGAAAGTTTTTTCTTTTGAGTGAGAAATAAGACAAGTATACGCACAGATCAAAAAACAATTAGTAAACAGCAAAATGACTTGTATTACTATCTGATACAGCAAATTGCAGAAGGATTTATATTTGAATCTGATCCAGCAAAAAATAAATAATTGTCAAATTCGCCAACAACATTTATAATATAAGTTGAACATCACGAATTCACAGGTTCAAACATGCTCGCTTTCATAGAATTAAAAAGTGACAACATGGACAAAAAAACAGCACCTAGTGAATGCAGACAGATTGCAAGGAAAATGGAAAAAGAAAAAAGAAATCACCTAATGCTCGAGACATAGCCAGAATTGCACCTTCCAAAACCAAAACAAATCCTCCCCTTGTCTCTATCCTAGCAAGTTCATCTGATTTATTAAATCATGGGCTACTTACAGAGTAGTTACACGAATGGATACTTCGATAGCATGATATTGATAGAAATAATGTCAACATTTGCAATCCCTAGTAATAATAAAAAAATGAATCTCAACTCACATTTCAAGATATGTTAAAATTATGCAAATCACTATTAGAATCAATCTTATAATCCCAGGGAGCTTGTGGTTACCCTACTATCTACCACATCCCAAGATGTATAACACACATATGCACGTCTCCATGTGTCTGACCATGTATATACACACCCATTAGCTTACATCCACAATATATGTGTGTATGGTGTATGCCAGTCACGTGTTAATCACAAACCTAGCTGTGTGCTATCTTTCCGCTTTCTGCTTCTTACTTTTCTTAGGGAATATAAAAACAATTTTAAACGTTCAATGTATCAAGGACCAAAAATGGCTATTACATTTGGAACCCAAAATTAACAGGGTAAATGGTCCGTCCATGTGTGGACCCTGCAATATCTAAGCTACTGAGGTCAGTTCTACGAATCCATGATTGATGAAACGTGCATGCATGCAGATGTAGGATAATTCAACTTACTGTCACAATATACATGCTAGTTAGCTTGTGGTCAACAGAGAGTGGGATCACACTCCCACTACAGCAGAGGATAGTGCCATTGATTGCCACCACAATGTATTCATCAGTCAAAAACACCACCACTGCTGCAGACCCCGAGCAGACCAACCTATTTCGGTTGCAGCTGCACGAACCCCACAAGCCCCCATCCACACTTATTCATTGTCAACTCCTCTGTTCTTGCGAAACACCTTTTGAATACCTATGTCCCTGCCTCTTTAAACAGACATTCAACATCAGGTTGTCCTAGTGCTGGTGCCCTCAAGCTGCTAGCCCCGCTTGAACTTGGTAGTATGGGGGCATTCCAAGCGCATCACATGCATCCAGTCCCTGCACATTATGGCCACCTGAAAAATATAGTCAATTAGATAAAATATTACTTTTTAACAGGTAGATAAAAAGCTTCAAGTGAAATTATTACAAAATATTTAGTATACAGATAATATTTTTCTAACAGAAATACCCCAACCATGTCGTCGTTTTCGGTGATCATAAAAGATTGTCTCTGATTTTTCACTTTAAAAGTTCTAGGTCTTGTATAGATTTTGTTCTCCAGAAAATGAAAACTATAGCAAGAGGAGATTAGCGGTGGTGGAATTTTACATGAGCTCCTCCATGTCCATAAAAAACACCAAAGAAGTGCACTGGACGGCACTGATTAATGTGTGGCAAGCATAGGTTGGTCTCAATAGTCACAGTGTCCTCCATTCTATGTAGCATCCCAGCGACTGCTACTGCTCCAACCACAGGACTCACGTCAGGTAAGTGATTCAAGTTTCTCTCTGCCACCTCATCTGAATCCTCTGAAAAACCCGTCATTGACAAAGGATAAGCCCAGGCAGTGGAAACACCCTGCTGTTGGTGATAACAACCTGCAGCTTTGCTGACTGCGATGAACACTGGTATAAGGATCATCTCTGGCTGGGGAACCACCCTGATGTGGGTCCTGGTGAGTAACAACACTGTGGCTTCCCTGCCCGGGATGAACACCAGGAGAAAAGGAAAATGACTCAACAAATAAATTTTGACATACTTGGATAGGTAATGCTTAACATCTGTCAGTTTTCCAATAGAGAAACAAAGTATAAAGGTATTCTCCATTGGTGAGAGCCTTGTTGCAACCAAATACATAAATATGCTTTTCCTCACCTTTTTATTACATTTCTTTTCTTCTTTACTCCAAATTCCAAACAATAGTTTTATATTCAATTTAGTTAGCAAATTAAAAAAAAAAAAAGTATACACTGAATTGACATCATTATAAACTCTCATATGCAGACTCCAGAATACGATCACAAATAAACTTCCCTTTCATGTATGTAAAAGACAAGACAAGAATAAAAAATACTAATGAGCCAAAAGAACAAACCAGTTCATAACCATTCTCATTATAAACTCAAAAGGCAAGCTGCTGCTCTTTGATTGATTTGTGCATGTTTAGTGCAAGTATTGGACAGAGCTGGATAGTTAAATGAACAAAATTGTAAATTCATTTTCTTTCTTAGCCCCTATTTAACAACCATTATCCAAAACTCCTTTTTCTAGCCATTTTCAACCATATAATCATACAATAAAATATTCTGCACATAAATCCAAAACTTTATTTTTCATTTTTTAACCACACATTCTTCAAAAATTTACTATTCAAAACTTTGTTTATGGATTTTAAAGGCCATCAAACAGGGGTTTAATATGTTCTGTCCAGTACTACTCAACCCACCCCTCCAAACACCACATTAGTGGCAGATATATAAGCTTTCCTACATTGAGGTTATGGCCTACATCAACTATAGTAGAGAACTAATCATTTTTCATCCTACATTTCATCATCCCTTATCAGGTTCATCAATCAGGAACACGATTTAGATTGAAATTAAGTGAAAGGAAAGGGAAATTATCTATTTAAAATAGATAATAGGCTATTGAACCGTTCATCTCAAAGTCTTCAGACTACTTGCTCTAAAAGCTTAAAAACCTTCTTTCCTATATAGTGAATAGTGCTTGTGATCTCCGAACTCTCATGCCGTCACCATCCTCTTCAAATCAACGACTACAACAGTAATATTGTCGGCACTTCCTCGGGCAATGGCAAGGTTAGTCAGTAACCCTGCAGCTGAAGCACATAGGGATGGGAGTAATCCATGCCCTTTATTTCGTCCAGAATTTTCTTCTCTTAGGCACTGCCTGACGACGTGACATGTCATCTCGTTGGACATTACATCCCACAGGCCATCACTTGCAATAATAAAAAATTCTTGTTCCTCAGTCCTCCTTATGAAAGTGATTTCAGGCACCGATATCACAGAAGGTTTTAGATACCCGTCTCCTGCTTGAAAAACCAAAGAAAGTAAAGCACAAGAATGTATGACTAGAGCATTTAAGTAACTTTTTTGTTTCAAAACACATTTGAATAACTTCCTTTTCTCTTACTTTTAATTGAAAAAAGTTACTTATTTTGATAGAATTCTTAACTTACAAACAAATTATAACTTATTTAGGTCTAACTTCGACCAATAAATAATTATCTATTTTAAAACTTATTGACTTTTTGAATAAGTTTACTTGTAAGTAAACTGTTTAAGCTTAGCTAAACATGGTCTAAAGCTAAAGCTTTTTCTTTAGGCTTGACAAATAGATAAGTATACGGCCAGATCATCCACAAATCAATTATTAAACAGCAAAATGACTTCTATTACTATCTGATACAGCAAATTACACTAGGATTAATTTGAATCTGATCCAGCAAAAATATTAATAATTGTCAAAGACGACAACAAACATTTATTTCGATATTGGTGAGAATAAGTAGAACATCACAAATTCTCAAGGTTCATATTAAAACATGCTAGGCTTTCATAGAATTAAAAAGTGACAACATGGCCAAAATAGTAGCATCCAGTTAATGTAAGCAGAATGTAAAGAAAAATAAAAAAAATCACCTATTGCTCGTGACATAGCCAGAATCCCTCCAACACGTGGTGCACCATCCAAAACAAAAACACATCCTCCACTTGCTTCTATCCTAGCAAGTTCATCTGGTCTATTAGGCTGCAAGCACAATAAAAATATTAGAACTAGCATTAAGAAAGATTAAATCAATGAACCACCGATAGAGTTATAGAGTAGTTACAGAAAATACTTGCATAGTATGCTTATTGATAGAATTCCTACCTATCCCAATTAGCTCGGTTTAAATAGCAAGTAATAAAAAAAATATTAATTTCATCTCACATTCAAGATATGTTAAAACTTGTGCAATTCACCATTAGAATCAAAATTATAATCCCCTGGAACTCGTGGTTACCCAATTATCTACCACAATCCAAGATGTTTAACACATGCACGTCCCCATGTGTCTAAGCATGTACATACATCCACAAGCATATATGCACAAATTTATGTGTGTACGGTGTAGGCCAGTCAAGTGTTAATCACAAACCTAGCTCTGTTATATCTTTCCACTTTCTGATTCTGTCTTTCCTTAGGGAAAATAAAAACAATTTTAAACATTCAATGTGCTCGAGGACCAAAACTGGCTATTACATTTGGAACCAGAAATCAGTTGGATAAATGGTCCCTCCACATATGGACCCTGCAATATCTAAGCTACTGAGGTCAGTTCTATGAATGTCATGATTGAAAACAAATTAATGCATGCCGGTGCTGGATAATGCAACTTGCTATCACGATATACCTTGTGATCAACAGAGAGTGGAATAACACTCCCACTGCAGCAGAGGATGGCACGTGAATCACCACAGTTTGCTGCCACAATGTATTCATCAGTCAAAACCACCACTACCGCAGCAGACCCTGAGTAGACCAACCAATTTTGGTTGCAGCTGCACTCGAATCCCACACGCCCACATTGACACGTATTCATTGCCAACTCCTCTGTTCTTGAGAAACACCTTTGTAACACCTGTGTCCATGCCTCTTTAAGAATACATTCAACATCAGGTTGTCCTAGTGCTGGTGCCCTTGAGCTGCTAGTGCCACTTGAACTTGGTAGTATGGGGCACTCCAAGCGCATCAGTTCTTCCTCCAATATCACATGCATCCATTCCCTGCACATTATGGCCACCTGAAAATTATAGTCAATTAGATAACATGTTACATTTTAACAAGCAAAGCAAAAAAAAAGCTTCAAAGGAAATTATTACATAATTATTTAGTTTTCAGATAATATTTTTCTAAAAGAAACACCCCAATCGTGCTGTCATTTTCAGTGATCATAAATTTCACTTCAAAATTTGTAGCTCTTCTTTATAGTTTTTTGTTTTCTAGAAAATGGAAACTGTGGCAAGAGGAGATTAGCGATGGTGAAATTTACATGAGCTCCTCCATGTCCATCAAAAACACCAAAGAAATGCACTGGATGGCAATGATTAATGGTTGGCGAGCACAAGTTGGTCTGAACAGTCACTGCATCCTCCATTCTCTGTAGCATCCCAGCAACTGCTACTGCTCCAACCACAGGAATCACAACTCCAGGCACATGATTCAAGTTTCTCTCTGCTGCCTCATCTGGATCCTCCTCTGAAGAACCTGTCATAGACAAAGGATAAGCCCGGGCGGTGGAATAACCCTGCGGCCGGTTCTGGTGGATAACAACACCCTGGCTTCCCTGCCAGTGATGAACAATGGGAGAAGGATCAGCTCTTTCCATGGAACCACCCTGATGTGGATCCTGGTGAGTAACAACACTCGGCCCTCCCTGCCTGAGATGAACACCTGGAGTAAAGGACAGTGACTCACCACTGGCTGCCATGACTGCAGCATTCCGCCTTATCTCAATCCTTCTCCGCCTTCTCTCCTGGGATGTCTCACGTGAACAATCACCATTAGCTCTCAGCATTCTGCTATACCTAGGATCTACCTCCACTATGTTCACTTAACTCACCAAAACCTGATTGATATAGCCCCAACTACCTACCTTGTATACAAGCAAAAATCTTAACACACCATCCGCTCGCATGTAACTGTATATAAATGTAACTGATGTATCTATAGATAGATAATTTTTGGAGCACTGATGCGGTGAAACACAGGAGGGCAAACAAAAACGTGTTAGGTTTGATGCTCCATCAGTACTTAGCCTGGAAGATGCCAAGGCTAGCCAATTCTAAAGGTAGCCTGACCGTGCTGCCCAAGCTGCCCGCAAGAGAAGTCTGAACTGTTCTTTCTACATGTGTACTCAGTAATACTTCTATGCATTAAATGTTCTCTACCAATTTTTTCAGCTTTTCCTGCCTAATCAATTTATCATATCAAGAGATTTAGTGAATCTCGTCGAAATTTATACTGGCATGTGCAAAACTAATTCTGATTCTGCAGTAAACGTGGACTAATTACATTCTTCCAGTCCAACCAGATGTCTACAAATATACAGTTGGCACAACCCACCAAATAATGCCTTCAACCTACATCTGTAGTGGTTAGATGGAAGGCAGCTGTTCTTGGCTGATGTTAATAACAGGTTGGAAAGGGCTGAGCTAAATTTATGACTCTGACGTGATCAAAGGTGGGCAACCACTGGGTTCGAGAAAACAGAAAAAGATTTACTCTGCCATATCAGATGGAACTCAAGGGTCAGGGAAGGGAAGCTGGGAGGAGTAAAATTGGGAAGGTCACATTGTGAACAAGGTGGGGCGATGAATGAGTCTACTTTTTTTCAATCCAGTGACTTGAAACACATCAAGAACTATATTGAATTATGAAGTATAAAAGATGTATGGCTTTTTGGAGAATGAATGTGCGTAGCCGAAACCATCAATCAGTCCAACTGTCTACTGGTAAAGCAAATTAATGCTTATTTACTAAATATATAATCCATCAATTTTCTCGGGAATTTAGTTTAGGATATTGACCATTTAAGAGGAATCATGTTGGTTGTTTCACTGCATAACTATTTATCTACTAGCAATTCCTTAAACCAAGAAAAAAAATCCTAATAAGGTTTGAATATGCAACTTAGTACCCTCCAGATACATGTCTAATCCATCAAAAGTTGCTTGCCAGTTATTATGTCTAATCCATCAAAAGTTGCTTGCCAGTTATTTCCTGTCCATTAATTGATATAAATCAATTATACTCATGTGTTTAAAAAAAAAAAAAAATAATTTATTATTTAATAAAAAAAAAAAAAAAAAAACGTTGAAAAGCGTAAAAAAAAAAAAAAAAAATCAATTAAACTTGTAGAGATTATATATGAAGCAAAAATTCCCTAAACAGAAGGAAGGCAGTGGTAATGCAAACTAATAAATTCCTAAACATACGATAACTCTACATTTGTACCTATAGGTTGATTTAGAAGCTAACACATGAGGATTTCATTTCATTAAATAGAATTGTTGAACAGTTTACCAAATTGACCTAGCATAAGTAAACTTAGTAGCCTCATTAATTTTTGATTTTCCACTAGCAGGGGCTCTTACACGATCGGCAGCACTTCCATGAATAACCACTGGTATGAAATATTCTTATAAATTTTACAAACATGTAATAATGTTGTTACTAATATATATATATATATATATATATATATATATATATATAGCACAAGTTTAAACTAGCATGTATTTAACATTTGTTTTTCATGCTAAGCACGGCACTGCCTTAATCAGTTCAGAGCACAGATGAAACTGAATTGTTCAATCTCATTTAGAGAGAACTAGCTCAAATCCGTACAAGGCACTCACATGTCAAAAAAAGTAGAATCAAGAGTTCATTTTATTAAAAAAAAAAAGGGAAATAAATAAGAAGGAAGATACAATTAGGTTCTAGAGCTTTCGTAATTAAACATATTGAAAGGATGCAATATCGAGATGAGTACAACAGTATATTTATTAGCTATAAAATCCACCCATACATATCAACAAAGAGCTAAAAATAAGCATTACTTCCAGTAATTTTGAGGTTTAGTTAATGAATCATCCATCCGATCCATCATAAACATCTACGGGATATGCAATAAAATCCTCGGCAATCACTTTAAACAATGCTAGTTCTAGTTTATCTCTTTATCTTCTAACATGTTCTACTGCATAGCTCTTGTGAAGGAGATCTTTTTTTAAGTCTATTTAAAACACGTCCCCACCACCTAAGTCGCATTCCTTAATTTGTCCTCGACTAGTGACACTTCCACTATTGTTATATTTTTTCACTTCTGATCTTATTCATTTTAGTATACCAGCACATCCATCTTAAACAATTCATTTATGCTACATTCATTTTATGAGCATTTGGTTATTTTATATTAATTCATATCGATGAGTAAAGGATTTCACTCCAACATATCTGTTTAAATAAACCTTTTTCAACAACAAATGGTAAATACTTGATAAAGAAAATATTCCTACTCCAAACTCCTATATAAGCTTTAAAATTTGGAAGGCATTGTTCCCATAAAAATGTCATCCAAAATACCAACAAAATGCTGGAAAATACCTTCTATCACTGGTCAATTCTCTATGGATTCCAGTTTAGGTATGCAAAGAAAGAGACAAAAATAGTGAAAGAATATTGGTATGTGAAGTTTTTGAAATATGATATTAGGAACAAAATATGATGCTATATATAGAAAATAAGAATGGTAAACATATATCATGTAGCTTGAAAAGAAAGTAAAATGTTTTAAGCGGTCGATGTTAATACAAGTAATAAATGCCGGTAACCGTTGATGATGATAACAGGAAAATGGTTGACATGTATTGGAAGGCAAATGCTTATTTTGTCCAGATCTGACAAAATGATTGATTGACGAATAGAAGATATTCTATTTTAGATTATGACGCAATGTGCTCGAATGTTGGTCATTCAATTTTTTCTATATATAGCATCCCCTATCTCGCTCAATTCAATAGCAATTTCACGTGATAATTCTCATCTATTTCGATAATAATTGCACAAGCCTTTTCCTTCTCTAAAATCGATCATTTATTTTCTACATCACAACCAGCTAATTTCATGCTTACACTTCTCTTTATTCTAAAACATAATATCGGCAAACATATATTATGTTATTACATCTCAATACAACAAAGCATCCACAATTGTTTTTCATGTTCCACAGATCCAGATAGTGGGATCTTTTTTACGTCATTAACCAATGCTAATTCTTTCCTTTATTCTCATTGCAATTTTTGTACCCACTCTTGCATGTTCAACTTATCTTCAATGTGAATATTATGGGCACCCTGTGAATTGTGATCATAATTTCCATTGTTTAAAAAAACTAACCGAGACTTATGCCTTGAGTCCCGTCCATGTGAGGCTTACGCCTCCACATGGGTGTTCGCCCGCTTGTCAAGCATTTTCTATTCATTTAATTGCCGTTCTTATCTTAAGATTTATTTCTTTATAACCTAAAATGTCTACGAGTTTTTTACTCTCGTTCTTATTTTTAGATTTATTTCTTTATAACCTAGAATGTCTACGGGTTTTTTACTTTCTTTTTCCTAGACACATGGAAGTAAAACATGAAGGAGGATACTGATGAAATATTAGAAGAGATTCTATTTAATATAGTTTCTAATTTTAATGCTTATGTTAGGAAACTTAATCATGTTTGATTTAATATCTTTTATTAGGCCCTTGTTTAATCCTCATTTTTTCTAAAATACATTTTCTCTCCTCTTTTTAACCACACATTTTTCAATAAAATAATATTACACGCAAATTCAAAACTTTTCTTTATCTTTTAACTACATATTCTTCATCAATCTACTATTCCAAAATGCATTCTTAGAAAAAAATGGAGCTCAAACAACCTATAGATATTTGCTACTTAGAATAGGATCTTTGAAACCCTATATAAATGTGGCTTTTGCATTGTAATAAGACAACCTTTGAATGAATAAAAATTGAATTTCTCTCTTCCTATTCTTCTCTCTTTGCCCTCCTTTCTCTTCTTCTCTTCCTTTTCCCCTTCTCTTACATTTGTTCTTAGCATACTGCGTCAATTTAGTATCAGAGCTTAAATTGATTTCTTTGACCAACAAATTTGACCTCCACACTCCAACCAACCATTTCAACCTTCAACAGCCAAACCATAACCACCAACAAATCCCGTTTTATCCAGACAGCCAAAACCCACTTTAATCCACAAAAAAAGGAGGCAGCAGCAATGAAAAGTTGTCTCAGCAGTAACAGTCTTTTTTTGTTTAGTAGTTTATAACAGTTGGAAAAAAAAAATGAATAGCCGGAATTGTTCACCGGCATATCAGTAGTAAATTTCGTTTTCTGTTATTTTCATTAAAAAAAAAAAAAAGGGAGTCCGGATACCGTCAAAGATTTCTTCTGCTGTTGTTTTCTAAACTCAGATATGTTGTTCATAACCCATAATAACCATACACAGCCCTATACATAGCCATACAGCCCACCTTTACTAGCCCTATAACCCAACACATACTCTAAGCCCATACATACACCCAACATATCCAGGCTCACATTCACCAAAACAACACCCCAAAACAGCCCAAAACACCCAGCCCAACTATCCCTACCCTGAGCCCACTATACACACATATACACCCCAAACCCGGCAAACACGCTCACATGTACCAAAATTACACAAATCCAGGTATTTCAAAATCACATTTCAAAAATCAGATTGGATAAATTATTTTTCAAAAATCAAGTATCAATTTAAACTTTTTAATATCTTAAAATTAAATTGCCTTCATCCACCCAAACCCTAATTATTCATCACTCTTCATTCTCTCTCTCTCTCTCTCGCTCATTTAAACTTTTTAATATCTTAAAATTAAAATTAAATTAACTTCATCCACCCAAACCTAATTATTCATCACTCTTCACTCTCTCTCTCTCATTTTCTCTTCCTTCTCTCTCTTTTTT